CTCCGTGACAGACGCTACGGGAGAGGCAGTCGGACGCTCCGGGCACAGGGAGGGCATCCTTGGAAAAAAACCTTTCTCCAAACAAACCCCAAAGAACCGCAGGCATTTAAATATTCTCCTGTACTGTTTTAAAGCCAAGGGTGGCAATCACATTATAAGCAGGAGCCTGAACCAGCCTAAACGCAGAACAGAGCCAAGACCTCCACACAGCAAGAGATGGCTGACGGGCAATCGTGATACAGTAAGTTCTTGACCATCACCCAGTTTCCAAATCCTGTGACTGACGGTGCTGGTATCCTGCACTGCCCCAGCTTGTGAAGTGCTGGAAGAGGCTAAGGGACCCTAAGCACTGAGTATCCTCAGCTGCCTTTGACTTCAAAGAGCTCAATCCCTTCTGAGGGCTCAGCACGGGGCAGAGAGGGCTGACAACGTGTCCCTGTGGAGGGCTGAGGAACACCACGCCAGTGCCATGTGAGAGGTCCATGCGACCCCTCTGCCCACGTCCTTTATCAATTGAATTTGAGTTTTCTTCCTTCTTATGCTGCATGTACTATCTATTACCATATTAAACGTATTGTTTAATAATTACAGATATCATAGCTCTAAATGTTACCACCACCCCAAGTTTAAAGTTTACCAATAGAGAAGGAGTCAGTATTGTGCCAGGAGCACAAGGTAGAGACATGGTCAGGTTCAGACTACAACTCCTAAAATGGAAGACTGATTCAACACTTAACTAGCACTGCTGTAAAAGCTTAAGTGCACTCAGTTCCATCCTCTTTTTCCAACTTTCCTTGACCAGTATTATGTTGTGTTTAAGATGAACATTCAGAGTGACTCTGTATTGTTAAAGCTGGTTCTTTGCTCAACTTTGTTTTTAAATGGCAGGTCATCTTGAACTCATTCATATAATCTAAAAACCTTTTAAACATAAGCAAAAAATAAGATGACTACATTGATGAAGATCTATTTAGGCTTACAGAAAGTGGCCCCTAATATTCCTCTGTATAGTAAGAATACCATGTAATTCAGTTTCATGATTGTTAATGTTGATACTAATGTGTGTGTGCATGCATGTAAGGCAGTGAAGGAAAGAGGGAGAGACCTGCGTTTGGACCTCTTGTGTGCTTCACTTAATTTTAACGAAATGCAAGTTATTACGGATAGCAGGTGCCTTTCTTCTTTCACAAATATTCATTCTCAAGTCTCAAACTCATGAGAATGTACCAAAATGTACTCAGAAATTGACATTTTTCAAGGGCAATGAAGAAACATCTATTTCCTTGCTTCCCTCAGCCCAAACATTTACTTTCCAAGCTGTGAGCCTGGGATGATTCCTTGGAGAAGGATGGATGTAAAATACACAATACTTACTGGAAGCAGGCAGAGAGCTTTGAGAGAAATACAAAATACTTTGCAGTGCAGTAGGTAACATCAGAAATGTGGCTTCCCTTTACCTGGGGTTCCACTTGAGGCAAAGAGTATTTTCCTCACTCATCCTTCCACCAGCTGAACCCCACAGTGAGAATAGAGATGCTGCCACAAGGAAGCATGAACATGTTTAGCCTGTCTTTACTCCTGGTAATTAATGACAGGTTGGTTTTTTTTAATTTTTTTAAAGGTTTCAGTAACAGTAGTTGCACACCTTGATTTAATTTCTATTAATAATATCTGAGGGAAGCAATCAATAATAAAAAGTCTCACTAATAAGAATGCATTAGATCCCTTGTGTCTGTGCTTTAAAGAGGCAGTACAGTTGTATGTGGGAAGAAACCTAATGGTAGAGGTTGTACCTTCAAGTACAGCTTAAAAGTTTAGTTTTTGTTTTGATTTCAACCTTTGACTTTTGCCATTTGTTCTATGTGACCTTTCTTGCAGATGGAAATTACTGGGGCAAATGCTATGCTCTTTCATCCTCAAGTTGTTGTAGGAGAGGGTGGTAAGTGTCTTGTTAAAATGGATTATGTCATCCATGGACTTCCCTGCTGAAAAGCCTTTCAGACCACGGAGTAAGTCTTGACAGGAAGACATGTATGGATTCATATTTAATTTAAAAATAATCTTGGAAAGGCAAATGAAAATTTACAACTTTTTATATCCTATCCAAATTAAACGATTTAATGGTATTTATCATGATGTGTGTGCATATACACACACACGCGTGCGCGCGCACACACACACACATATATATACATACACACACAGACACACAATCGCATAGCACTGATAAGTATGCTAGCCAAAAATTGTTTCCTCTTAAATACATATTACAAGGAAGACAGAGGTATCTCCTAAATGGTAATCTCATTTTTTTAAGCAGAAAGCAGCACTGACTGCAATTGAATTAAGATCCAGTTTTTTAGTTTAATAACTGTAGTGAAGAAAAAAATAATCTGCAAAATGTATGTGATTGAATGCATCCTAGATCAAACTGGAATTCAATCTTTAATATGAATCTTTGTACCAGAAAAAAAAAAATACAGAAGCTTCACAAAATACATTGGTTTGTGGTGTGGGGGGTTGCTTGGGTTTTTGTTTGTTTGTGGAGGTTTTTCCCCATTTTTTATATATTTCTGTTGTGTGTTTTGGTTTAGTTTTTGTTTGGTTGGGGGGTTTTCTGTTTAGTTTGTTTTGGTTTTTTTTTGACTGGTTGTAACTGATAAGGTGTGATGAGAGAAATTAACCACTGCTTGGGAGAGAAACTGGAGTTTTTCTTCCATATTATTTTGCTTTTATGAGTAAGGAATAAAAGCCAATGTGACTTTTCATTCATACACAGACAGGAAATATCTAGCATCTTAAAATGCATGGCATATTGGAATACAAGCATCTATTCACCCTTTTATATTCTTGTGAAAATAGTTGTTGATTATCATATAATTCTTTGTTCCTCAGCATTGCAAAGCAGTGCAATAAACTGTTTCCTGAAGACAGAAAATTAAGACCTCACTGCTTAAAAACATTCAGTAGAAGTGGCTTGAAATGAGCTCTTAAGGGGCAACTCCATCACAACACAGCCTTACAAGGGCTGCTGCTGATGTAAATGTTCAGCGTCATCTCATTTAAATAACAATGCAGAAGTCAGGAACTTGAAGGGTTGGGAGGAGAGTGAAGGGAAGCACGCCTGGAAAAGAAATTATTGTCTTTCTCATATTCAGATTTTGTTCCATTAAATAACCTAGTAATGAGATATTTACCTCAAAGTGTCAGTAGCTGATTTCAGTTTTTAATACACAATATATGGTCTGATCCAAAATTGCCTTAGGTTCATGGGTAAATTATTTGATTAAGATAAATGACTTTACTGCAAGCAACATTTGCTTACAGGGATTACCCACTAGCATGCTACTTCAAAGTAATATTAATAATATAAAATTACTAACTGATCTGAAAGTTACTAAAGCAGGTTTACAGAATAGTGGAGTATCCTACTATTATTCTATTAAAGCTTTAAACAAATTCAATGCTGTTTTCTCAGGCAATATCCAAATGCTCTATATAGTTTGTACAGTCTTCTCAAGTTATGTGAGGGATTATTCCTAAATTTAATTTGCTTTGAAAGGCTGAAATTCACATTCCATAAATTAAGAAGAAACAAGATAAGTCCAGAAAGTTTCTGAATAAAATATAGACTTTTATCAGTTTGCTATACCAGTAGAGAGACATAATTACCTTTAGAACATAGGCTCTTATGACCTTCTTGCAACTTCTAAAACCTGCTTGTATACAGTTTCACAAGTTGGTTATCATGAAAATTAATGATCCTTTGTGTTTGGGAAGTCACTGAAGACATCTCTAACTAGAAAAAGTTCCATTATATAATGCTTACAACTGATACTATAGATTAAAAGAAAGGAAATTATACAAATGCTCCATGAGATAAAAGTAGATGGTTTGGAGTAGAGTTTTGTTTCTGTGGCTTGGTGTTTATTTTAATGTTTGTTTTGGGGTTGTTTTTTTTATTGTACTGACAGAAACTCATGGTTTCATTTTAACAGGGAAAACTATAAACAGTGGAAAACTTATGTCAAGAATTCGCAAAGGAATGTCAGATCTTTATAGAGTTAAATAATGGTTAAAATTCAGTATCCAACACTGGAACAGAAAGCTTGAAAAACCCTACTGAAGAAAGAACAGACCATATAGCAGCAACATTCGTAAGTGATAAAAATTATTCTTAATCACCTAGTAATACTTGGTTTCCTGTCTGGCCTCCTGTCAAAGACATCTAATCAGAGTTCATTCCCTTGTTACTCAATACTTGAGAAGAAAGAAATGCATTGATTTTTGACTAAGCTACTTTTGCCTTGATTGGGCAAACACAT